TACAATACTTCATCAACAGTTTTCAATGTCATATTTCAAAATCATGATTTAAAAATGACTAACACAAACTGTGGTTATAACAGCATTTATATACACATTCCTCCAGATTTAGACATTTTGGGAAGATTCCAGTAGTACTGTAATAAATAACATTACTTAGTATACATTATTATAAATTTGCACACAATCTATGAGGGTTTTTTTTTTGCATTCATTCCTTTACATGGAACTATTCTCAAGGTTTATGAAACCTTTTCCATTTCTGAACGTATCTTGCCAAATTAGTCCAGAAAAGCATACCATTTTATACTATAGGCAACGGTGTATAAACAAATGGAAAAACTTGTTTAAAAAGTAGTTGGGAAGCACTATCCAAAACTGCTTAAAGAACAAAAATTAGCAGGGTGTGATGGCGCACATCTGTAATCCCAGCACTGGGGAGGCTGAAGTGGGAGGGTCAGCGTGAGTTTGAGGCCAGCGTTGGCTATGTGAGGGCCAGCATGGACTACATAGCAATACTCTGTCAGAGAGAGAAGGAGAGAAAGAGCAAGAGAGAGAGAGAGAGAGAGAGAGAGAGAGAGAGAGAGAGAGAGAGAGAGAGAGAGAAAACTGATTTCTTTCTACATAAAACTTGTAAATGATTGACTTTAAGATTTTAATTGTCCAGAAAATAGTGAAAATTGATACATCTCTTAAAAGAATTAAACTGAATCACATTTCCACCAAAAAACTCTTCCCCAAAAGCCCCCTGTTTTGCAGGGCTATCCTTTGAGATTCTGTGTAAAATGTCTCATTATCTACTAGCCACAGAGTCAGAATCACCGATACTGTAATGGTGATTTTCTAATGTCGGCACACCTTCTGCATTCATAAGTTAGATCTCTTCTGTAAGGAGAAAGCTATCATTCCACTCAGCTGCTCCCTGTACAGTGAGGTAGACTCAAGGCTTCTTGTTAGATTTCTAAGCTTTAATCCTTACTATCATTTATGTCCTTGCTCAAATTGTCCCAGATTTAGACAGCGAGAGTTTCTTCAAACTGGCTTTTATGTCCTTCTGGCATATTCCTAGCATAACTTTGGGTTAACATAACCTTACTTTTGCTATAAGAAGATAGTCGAGTCTCATTTTGTCTTTTCTGTGCCCTCTTCTCTAAATCAATTTTGAGATCTCCAAATTCAACCCAATGCCTCTGATTTTAGTTTGTCTTTGTCTTTTCTGTATTTCATGTGAAATATAACTCCCACATGGTAGAAAACACAAAAGCGTTTCACTGATTTCTTCAATTCCTGGAATGTACAAAGAGTTTCAGAATTGCTGATCCAAACTCTGCAATATTTGAGTGTTCATATTTTCTTTAGATTTTTGTTTTTGTTTTCAATCCATGCACATAAGAATTTAAATACTGTGTTCAAAGATCTCTGAGTGTTCTTCCTCTTCCTTGTCACGGTTTATCTTATTAATTTTGAAAGAAAATATTGGCTTGCCTCTCTTTATGTGTTCAAGTTTTGGGGTTTTCCTAAAGTTTGCTTCCTTTCTTCCCCTTCCCGCCCCTCTCTGCCCTCCCTCCCCTCAGTTCTCCTCCCCTCCCCTCTTCCCTTTCCCTTCTCTTCCCCTCCCCTCCCTTCTTCCCTTTCCCTTCTCTTCCCCTCCCCTCCCCTCTTCCCTTTCCCTTCTCTTCCCCTCCCCTCTCCTCTCCTCTCCTCTCCTCTCCTCTCCTCTCCTCTCCTCCCCTCCCCTCTCCTCTCCTCTCCTGTCCTCTCCCTTCTCCTGCTCTGCTCCACACTGCTTTGTTTCCTTTTTCCCTTCCTCTTTATTTTCTTTCTGTCTTTTTCTCTCCCTTCCCTTTTCCAAAAATTAAATATGTATTGAAAGTTTTATTTTCCATTCTGCATGGTCTTGTCCTTTGTGGTTGGCTCTGACCATTGACCTTTGGAATCCGGTGCCATTAGCCTCTGAGATTTCCTTCCTCTTTTCCCTTTTGCTCAAATGAATATAAGGTATGTCATAGATACTCCTCCGTATTTTGCTAATCATAGACTTTTAAAGCTGACCAAGATTTTATTATATTTCTATGATTATTGTTTCCTCAATTTCATTTTCTTTTAGATATTGGATCAGAACCAGGTCTTCACAGAACAAGTAAAAGATACGAAAATATTGCTTTACAAAGAAATCAGCTTCAGAAGAAGGCAGATGAAATTCAGAAACAGAAAGAAGAGCTACAGCACCAGCAGGACCAGCTAGAGGCTCAGGAGTAGGAGTAGCATCAGGTGCTAATTTGTAGAAGGACTATGACATTCAAATGAATGTTTCAAGGGGTGGTCCTGGTAGCAGGGACTTGTAGTCTTGCATACTTGGGAGTGGGGGAGAGGAGAGTGGTTTAAATCCAGGAGTTTGAGCACTGCCTGAGCAAGGCAGATGTCCCTCTTTGAGGGGGGCTGGGGAAGAAAAAAGGAGCAAAAAGCACGTTAGGGTCAGGGATGTAGCTCAGAGGTAGAGGGGGCGCTAAACAACACAAGATCCTCAGCTTGATTCCAGCACTAGGAAAAAACCCACCTACTATGTGCTGACTGACACTTTGAGTAAATGGAAAACTAAAAATCAAGCGGTGAGAATGACAGAATATTAAGCTAGAAATTTGATATCACGTACTTTTAGAATTTTTTATGCAAGAGTGGAAAATTCCTATTTTGTTTAAACCACTGTTGTTTGCTTTTTCTATCATGTAACTGTGCAGAGAAAAGTATGAATGAAAAATGACCTTAGTTGGTAGGAAAACTATTCAGCTGAAGCATTTCTAGAGTGGTGTTGAGGAACCATAGCACACGTTTTTTGTTTTTCTCGTAAAACAAAAGACGGTAATGTATGAGCTGTTCTTTCTAAACTGAAACCTCTCTATTCAGCTTGGACTGTGGTGTTGGCGCTTTGCACTAAATAAGGGCTACAGATTGGACATTATCTCTCTTTTTTTAAATTGTTGATTGTTTTTGCTTTGTTGGTTGTCTAAACAGGAAAATATGAGAGAATAGGTTAAAAATATAGATGAGATGTTGAAGGCGTGCTTATTGTCATTGTATTTTGAATGATATAAAACGTTGATGCAATATTCTCCCAGCTTAGGCAAGCTATCTTCTAAGTTAGCAAAACAACTCGTCCTCTGCTTCACCCCCACTCCCCGCCAGACCCTCGGGGGAGGAGGGTGGCAGCAGGCCCGGCAGCAGCCCCCTCCTCCACCCCGGAAAAACACCCCACACCCCGCCCTCCACCGCCCGCTAGACATTGCTGTCTTAAACGTCTCACGCCTTATGCCTCTTATAGAATGCAGTGACTAAAAATAACAAAAAGTTACTAGAAACCTTGGCAAATACTGGAGGCTTTTCTGAACAACTGTTAATACAAAAAAGACTAATTCAGAAGGATGATGTGCACCCATGAAAGAATACTTATGAGGACACAGGAGCAATGATGTATGGAGAAAACTATAGGCAGAGCTTTGTAACTTTGCTGATAGTTTCCTTCAGTTATAGCATAAACCACTCGCATCACCGAAGGAGAACAAAGAATAAAAAAGGAAGTAAGAATGGGAGTTTGCTTTTTTCCCTGGTTCTGTTGCATATCAGTCTTAATGTATTTGTTTTCCCCTTAGAAAATATGTTCTCGGGCTGGGGATTTAGCTTAGCAGCTTAAGTGCCTGCCTGGCAAGCGCAAGGTCGCGAGTTCCATTCCCAGTATCAAAAAAACAAAAGAACAACAACAATAAAAAAAAAAAAAACAACCCAGCCCCTATGTTCTCATTTTAGAGGTATCCTATCTTCCTTTATTCCAAATATGCTGGAACATACGTACTGAACAAAAAGAAAGCAAAGGAGATAAAAAGATGAAATAGATGTTCATAGTTTTCCCCAAGTCTCTGTTCAAAAGAAATACGCTTTCATTTTGAAACTGAAAACAAAGAGAACAGTAGAAAGAACTTTCCCTAGCGGCCTCAGCCAGCTGCATTCACTCAGCATGTTTCGCAAAAGCAGGCTGGGCAGCGTGAGCAGCTGAGAGTTAAGGTTCCTGGTCCAAGCTCCTTCCACTCCGCCCGTCCTGCAGGGAGCGAGCCTATCAATGGGCGCTACTCGGTGAAAGCCCGCGAGTTCTAAATTCACCCTGCCAAGGCTGCTCTGCTGGAGATTTGGTTCCCGCTCTCCCTGATTCTGTTGTTTTTACAATCGCCCTACAAGGAGATTTTATCTTAGTCCCAGAGAGGTCACAACTGAGGCAAGGGATGCAGGCAGGGTAACTTGCCCATTGTCCCTTGGCCAGCAGATGGCAGGTCTGGGGGTCCAGTCCAGGGCAGCCCCCCGTTCTCTTCTGTGCTGGGCACCCTTTATAACCATGCAAGGAGCGAATGAGGTAGGATCAGTGAGACACCAGACGCGCTCCGAGCTCCAGCTGGACTAAGGAACGCGGAGGCCAGGGAAGGAGCACACTGTACACTGCCCTTTGTGAATGAACTTCGCTGTTATCTGTGGAGGGGGCCAGATTTAATCACGGCGTGAGCATTTTAGCTAAGGGCTGCAGCGGGAGATTTAACTGGGGCGGGGACTGAATCTGGCTTTGGTGTGAGTGGTGTGAGTTCCGCCCCAGTGTGGTGAGGCGGGCGTGTAATTCTGGCATCTCTGGCAGGAAGACTCAACTTCCAGTCTGTGGAGCGGGCGGTTTAGCTACCCAGTGGGAATTTATCTCGAAAAACGAAACAGTGAAATAAACAAATGGGCGAGGTGAGAAGGCTGGGGATGAAACTTGGTGAGAAGGTCCTGGGTTTATGCTCAGTTGCAGACGGGGAAAGGTTTAAACTTCCTGTTGCTAAGTGGTATGAGTTAATCACGCCAACCCGCAGAGATGCCCGGCGAATGAGAGGCAGCTCTGTGGTACCCCAACCCGCCCAGCCGAGGCGTGGTTTCAAGTCCACTGCCCTGAGGACGGATGTGGGGTTGTCACGAGGTCGCAGCACCACCCTAAGCCCAGCGTGCGCCGGACCAGGCGCGGAGTTCATTGCGTGCTTTTAGCCCATCCCATCGGAGGCCGCACCTCCTCCTCCAGTCTCTGCAGACCGCGGACGCGTCCAGTCTGACGTGAAGAGGAGACGAATTGAGAGCGGTTTGTCTTAGCATCCTTGAGAGCCCTGAGAGGTGGAGGGCGCGGACGCCGCCCTAGGGGTCGCCCATCGCAGGATCGCAGGATCGCAGGATCGCAGGATCGCAGGATCGCAGGATCGCAGGATCGCAGGGTCGCAGCGCGAGCTACTTTTCCACTCACTCGGTGACCGCGTCGCCGCGCGGGGCTCAGCAGCTTCTGGGCTTGGCGGGTCTGGGGAACCCGCATCGCAGGGACCATGGCCCCGGGATCCGCAGCCCGCCAGGAGGCGGTGGTGCAGCTGCTGCTCTTGTGTGGGTTGCCGGCGACCGCAGGTAGGATCGCGGGTGAGAAAGGGGGGATCTGGACGCGGATGCTTCCTGGGGGTTCGCCGATGGCGCGCCCACCCGCAGCCCTGAGTTGAGGCGGTGTAGGGGGGAGTCGAGGTACCTGATGAAATGCAGCTTCACTGTTGCACAGACTGAGGGCTTGGGCTGTGGCTCAGGGGCAGGGCCCTTAGCCAAGCGTGGGTGAGAGCCCGAGTTCATTCGCGTATGAGGCTGGGGTGGGGGTGAGGGGGTCCAGCCGTACTCTTTTTTTTTTTTTTTTTTTTTGGTCTTTTTCATTTTTATCGGTACCAGGGATTGAACTCATGACCGCCTGCTTGCAAGGCAGGTGCTTATGCCGCTGAGCTAAATCCCCAGCCCCCCAGCCGTACTCTTTCTCTCTCTTCCTGTCATGATTTGTGTCTGTGGCCCCCAGGCCTCATAAGTTTGCATTGTGCATTTGTGATTGGTTCATTGTCTAGTCTTGGATTGATGGTGTCAGTGCTACAGCCCCATAGGGGTGGAGCCGGGATGTGATGTAATGGCAGGAAGAAGGTGAGTCTCGCCCTTAATTTTTTTTTTTTTGCGGGTTTTGGCTTTGCTGTTTGCAGCCACCGTGAATGCGGCCCCGCCATGCCAGTCTGCCTTGGAGCCAACTGAGTATGGACTAAAACCTCCAAAACTATAAGAAATAAACTTTTCCTTTCCCAACTTTGGGCTTCAGGTATTTTGTCTCAGCAACGAGTAAAAAGTAATCAAGACACTTCCCTTGGTGAGGCAACTGGAATCCATACAGCTCCAGGAGGACCAAGGAACTTTGAGCGTGGGAAAGCAACACGCATTCACACACACACTTACACTGCCGTTTGTGATAATGACTTTGCTATGCAAATCGTTTTAAAACTTGTTGCGGAGGTAGTCGAATTTAATCACGGATGAGCATTTGATACTTTGTTTCAAGGAGGTCACAGAGCACTTTCTTGGTTATTCTGGGGAGGGGAAATTAGGCACCGAGCTCAGCTGAAGAACTAGTGTTAATTTTTGTAGCCCTGTGTGGTGGCGAACACCTGTAATCCCAGCACCCTGGGAAGCTAGGGCAACAGAATTGCCCAGTTCCAGCCCAACCTGGGCAATTTAAGTGCCTAAAGGGGTGTTGTCTTTAGACACCCCCGACCCTCCCTCCCACAGGTTGAGGATGCAGCCTGCAGCTTTTGCTCTTCCTATGGGGCTGGGATATGGGGGGAAGTCCTAATCTGTGGAATCGGAATTGTAGTGGAGCTTGCTAATTATTTGGTGCTTCCAGCCCATTCTGCCCTGGGGCTACCAAGCTATTCCAGCGGTTTAGACGGAGGAAAGGGGAGGCTGAACCCCGCCAACTGGCCCCAGTCAGCCCCCAGTCGGACCTGCTTTAGAGACAACTCAGGACACTCCTGCTCAGGTCTCCAGAGGGGACAAGTTGAAGGCTGTTTCTGTCTGAAGAGAACCCGGAGGCTATCGTGGCGTCATTCACCGTCTGGAAAGCTGAGATGCTGCCATAGGGAACCCTGTGCCAGCAGAAGCTCACGCTGTTCCCCTGTGTCTGTGCCTGTCTCCCAGCAGCTTCTGGGGTGGGTTGACCTGGGGGAACCCACACTGATGCACACATGCCTAGGGGTTCACAGCTCACCTGCGGGCAGTGGTGCAGCTGCTTCCACTGTTGTGGCTGACAGAGGATGGCACATGGGACAGGATGTGGGTTCCTTGGAGTCTGCTGAGAGCAGGGTCACTTTGCAGCTCTGCTGTGAGGTGGCTCAGCTCTGAGCTGCCTGGTGAAACTCAGATTCACCGATGGCACAGATTCTGGTGCAGGATGTGGGCAGCAGGGTGGGCTCTTTCCCAAGGCATCTGCCTTTGGGCACTGTTGCTTCTTCCCAATTGGGACAGAGAAGGAAATGCAGAGGTCCAGTAAGAAAAGTTCTGCATCCTCATCTCAGGGAGCCGCCTGACCTTACTGAGGTCTCCACAAGAGAGATGCAAGGCGTGAACTAGGGTGACCTGACACTGAGCATGCGTACTTTGAGGAACTTTGTTGTCTGCACCAAATGTTCAAAAGGTTTTTGTTTTTATTTGTTTGTTTGGTTGTTTTTAGATGAGCTGCCCTGCAGCATGGGGTGCACACTGGGCAAGGACAGTGATGCTGTAGAGTTCAAGAGAGCAGAGAGACTGCAAGCAGCTCAAGAGGGTTTATTAGGGGAACACCTGACTCAGCAGATTCTGTCCAGAGGGCAGAAAGAACAAAGGAGGGGCCCCAGTTTTACACATATTGTCAAGTGAGTTGGTCTTTGGCAAGGCAGCTTGCATGCTGTGACAGTTTTTGTAAGTTTTGTAAGTATCTTGGTGGTCCAGCTGGGGCATAATGGGATGTCCTGGGAACGTGAGGTTATCCAAATTCTACTTACAAGGACAGAACTACTGTTTTTATCTGTATTAGAAAAAGGACAATGGCTGTAGGGAAGGGGAAGTTTGGGGAACTGAAAGTTTTCTAAGGCCTGCTTCTGTAAGAGGGACTTTCCCAAATGTAGTAAAGACAGGTATTTATTCCAGCCTGAGAAGGCTGTGTTTCCTGAAGACAATCTGGGGGTTTCATAAGTTTGAGGATATGGAAAAAAGGGCTGGGGAGCACTTGTGAACGAGTAAGGGATGTTTCTGCCTGGAGCATTTAGCAGCCTGTGTATCCTGGGGTGCCCTCCCAACCTCCACTCTCCCACCTGCCCAACCCTTGCCAACCCCACCCTTCAGGAATTCTCTCAGTCCACTCTGCAGCCTCCACAGTCCAGTCCACCCTTAATGAACACACATCCATCCTTACCCAAGCCCTCACCAGCCCCCCTACATTCACATCACCCCCCTAATGCCCAACTCCAGGATCCCACCTAACCAATCCCATAGCCCCAACTTCCCACCCCCAAACACCCAAAGCCCACCCTTTCTTCACCTCTAACCTTCATGAAACCACCCGTTCTCATTTCCTGCCCCCCAGTTGCTCACAGTCCTACCCCATCACTATTCGACACTCCCACTCCACCTCATTTCTTCTCTGGTACCCCACCTCACAGCCTGACCCATCACCCATCTCCCACCTCCCAACCTGTGCTCCTGCCCCCATCCCCGTGCTGCACACCTCTGTGCTCCCCTTTTCCACATTCGTTCCTTGACTCATGATCATCATCTCCCTAATCCTCACCTATCACCTGTCCCCAACCTCGATCCCCATTTCCTACCCCACCCCACTCCCATCCCCAGCCTAGATAAGCTAAAGAATATGCAAACACTGGCCCAGGATATCCTGGCCAGAAGAGATGAAGCAAGCCTGGAGTCACCTCTTTTCTCATTGTACCTCTCTCCCTTCTATCCCTTCCTGTAAAAGTCCCTTACACCAGGACTCGGTGTGACGATGACTTGAGGCAGAGAAGTCCCCTCTATGTCCTCTGAGCAAGCTGTAAAGAGTTTTTCTTCCCTACCAACATAAATGGCCTTCTTAGATTTGGCCAGCAGGGGGAAGACCTGAGCACAGGGACCTGAGTGGCTGTAACAGGCTGGGATGCCCCATTTTCCAACAGGAAGCTCAGAGGCTGAGCAATGAGAAATTCCTTAACACTTAGTAGACAGGCCTGGCTTTTGATGGAATGCGTGGCTTCTGCAGGGGGTGGGGGGAGACTCCACATGTGCGCTGTATATCTGGGTATAAGCCATTTCCATAAACAGAAACAAAACAGCACAGTTTTACAGAGGACAAAAAGATTCCCTTCATCTGGTGATAAAGCCATTGTAAACTTTTAATGCAGCAGACAGCTCAGGTGTTTGTGCTCATACGGAAACAAACAAAACTACTGTACACACAGTTTTATAAAAGTACAGCACACACAGTTATGTATAAATGTAATAACAAGAATAAATGACACCGAGTTATGTATTTTAACTGTACCTTAAATCATTTTAGAGTGCACTTTTGTGCATCACTTTTTAAAAAAATGTGTCTATAAAATGTGACACAGACAGTAGCTTCCTGAACTTTGTCACCACATCTCTCAGTTTCATTAGGACCGCAATGAGTGGCTGCCCCATCCATTTAGGGTTGTGTGAGGTTCACTCAGTGATGCTCACACCGTGATGAATCTGGCTGATGAGAGTTCTCAGGTCCCTGTTGTTGAGTGACCCCTGACAGGATTCTGAAAGCTGTAAAGATTGTCCAGAGAAATTTAACAAGATTGAAATAAATGAATAGAAAATTCATCTTATCTTCCTTCTGTCAGGCTGACACCGCAAATGCCACACACCTGAGTGGGGTGATATTGATGACATGGCGAAGGTGGCAGTACTCCCAAGTCCATCAGTTGATTCGGTGCATTCCTAGCAGACTCTCAGCTGGTCACTCGGTAGAAGGTGATAAGCTGATTCTGAAATTCACATGGAATTGTAAGGGACCCCAACAGCCAAAATGATCTGCAAAAAGAACAAAGAGGGATCTTAGTGGATGGATGAGAGCTGTGAACTGACAGTCTGTGTCCTGAGTCCTCTCACACTTACCCCAAAAGGAACTTATTATGTGGTGGTGTTTGAGATACCAAAGATCCCCATGTCACTGTTACAGGTTTTTTGGAAGTGGCGACACGAGGAACACTACAGACGGTACACCTGAATGACAACGTCACCATCTTCTGCAAAGCTTCTGGCTTCTCAAAGCTGGACAGCAGGTTTATTGGCATTAGATGGTATCGGAAGGATCATGTGTCTAAAGAAGAGAATAAAGTGTTTGAGTCATTTGGTGATAAAAAAAATGCTGCCCGAACTGGAGCTGAGGTGTCTCCAGAGGGGCTGCAGTGGGGTGACGCCTCCCTGCAGCTACCTGGGGTCCAGCTGAGGGATGCAGGAGAATATCGGTGTGAGGTGGTGGTCCCCCCTCAGAAGGCAGAAGGCAGGGTCTTGCTGGAAGTTCTCGGTGAGTACCTGAGGGCCATGCCCTGCAATTGCCATGGTGCTGGGTCCTGGGGTGGGGGTGCAGTTGGGGGCTCCATGGGTCGAGGGTCAGTGTGTCAGTCTGTCCCAGACATGGGTTCCCATCCTGGCCTCCATAAATACTTGGGCCACCTTAAGTAAGTCATTAATAACTCTGAATTACAATGCTCTTTACACTGTCTACCTAGGAAGGTCTTAGGGAAGATTCTATGAAAAATACAGGGGAAATATTTAGCACTGTCCTTAAATGACTGTCATAGCAACTGTATAAATCTGTGGGAGCAGTCATGCTCATAAAGAAGTATTCATGACGAGTACTGAAAAAGGAGAGAGGTGCTGGCCCTGGCTGGACAGATTTAATCCTGTTTCAGTTTTTTACCTCCCAATAGGAGCCAGTTTGAACCTGAATTTTCTCATGTACAAAATGAGCTGAGAACTCCTACCTGCCACATAATAAAATGTGTAAATCCATACAGAGTGGTACATGCCTTTAATTACAGCTACTCAAGAGACTGAGGCAGGAGGACTCCAAGTTTGAGGGCAGCCTGGGCAACTTAGTTTAGAGCCTGTTTTAAAATAATGTGAAAAAAATGCCGGAGATCTAGACTGTCAGTGGTAAAGTCCTTCCTTTGCATGCACAAGCCTGTGGGTTCATTCCACAGTGCTGAGGGGAAAAAGTGTGATGGTGTCCAGCTGATCACTTGTAAGATTCGTAAGTTCCGAGTCAAGGCTTAAATCAGTCCCTGAATACTTCTTTGAGCTCCTCTTTCCTCTATTATAACAGAATCTGCTGATACACCAGGCACTTTTTGGCTGTGTTAGTTTCCTACAGCTGCGGTCACAAAGTACCACAGACTGGGTGGCTTCAAAATAGTGTATCTTCTTCCAGTTCTCGAGAGCAGGAGTCAGAGACCAGTGAGTGGGTGGGATTTACTTCTTCAGAGACCTCTATCCTTGGCTGGCTCCAGTCTCACATGGTTTTTCTTCCTTTCTTCCTTCCTCCCTTCCTTTCTTCCTTGTTTCCTCCTTCCCTCCCTCCTTCCCTCTTTTCTTTTTTGAGACAAGATCTCCCTGCATTGCCCAGGCTGACCTCGAACTCTCGGCAATCCTGCCTCGGCCTCCCAAGTGCTGGGAATACAGGGGTACACCACCATGCTTGGCCTGGTTTTTCCTGTTTCTGTGTCTGTGTCTAATTCCCTTTTTCCATAAGGACCCCAGTTTCAATGGATTAGGACCTGCCCTGCAGTCTCATTTTAACTCCATACCTCTTTACAGATTCTGTGTCCAAATAGTTCCATTCAGAAGTAGTAGGAACAATGTGTAGATTCTAAGGGGACATAAAGCAGACCTCATAACAGGAGAGTAGCATTTTAAACACTCAAAGTATGTAGAACTCTGAGTGCTTTAATATATTAATAGTGGGACTGTACCGGTGTACTAGTTAGAGTTCATTTATTCTGCAGCTTACAGAAACCCTGAAATAACAGTGGCTTTTGAAAAAAGTTAACAGAGTTGCCAGATAGTCCAGAGGGCTCTCATATTACTCGCACCCCACAGTCCTCTTACCCTGTCATTAAGGGTGCAGTTGATTAATGTACCAATATTGATAGATTACTGTTCAATGAAGGTCATAGCTTTAGTAAGAGTTTTTTAGCTTTTACTTAATATCCTTTTTCTGTACCAAGATCCCTTCTACAACCCATATTTCTTTTAGAAGTCCTTAATTTTACTAAGTCGTAACTTACCAAGTTTTTCTTTTGGGGTTTATGTTTTGGCATTGTGTTTGATAACTTTGTGTTTTAGCATTGCTGATATTAAACCCATAGCCTCATGCATGCTGGGCTTTGCACTCCCACTGAGCTACATTCCCAACTTTCACTCTGTGTTTAAAAGTGCATCACCAAATTCAAGGTCATTGGATTTTCTCCTGTGGTATCTTCTGGAAGCTTTATTGTCTTATGTCTTTTTTCAACTCTATGTTCCATTTTGAATTAATTTTTATGAAAAGTAGGTCTCTGTTTAAGTTCCGTGTGCATTGTTTGCATATGAACATGCAATTTCCCAGCATCATTTTTTGATTTATTTGGTCTGTCTCTGCTCAGCTCCTTGGCTTCTAGGTCAAAGATGAATTGAATATATTTGTATGGGTCTATTTCTGGTTTCTGAGTCTATTGATTTATTTGTTTATTCTTTCATTGCACTGTTTTTTCTTAGATATTTCCTAGAAGATACTTTTACTATCCCTTATAGCCAACATGACCAGACCTTCGGTTCACGGGGCCACACCTACCTGCAGTAGGAGTTGGTGAAGGACCTTTAAACCTGGATGTGTTGCATCCAGCTAAACATTAGTGTGAGAATCAAGGTTGTGGTGTATCAATATCCCGCTGGCTCCGGTAACACCAGCCAGACTATTAAACTGCAGCCAGGTCCCATTTAGCTTACCTTTCTGAAGTCTATCTAACATGGGCCAGCCATCAAATTGGGGATCAGTTAGTTTCTACCCACCATCCAGAAATTCCCAGTCTGCTATAGTCACTCAGCAGGGCTACAATTGATTGCTCAGTGTGGTTGCAGCATTCTCTCTGCCTCTGAGTCTACATCTTTGTAAAGAGTGGATGCCCATATTTTATGTTTTGCCCGGCTATGGTAGAGGAGATGCAGATGTGTAGGTGTGGTACAAGCCAGTTAACATGAAGCAGGAGAAAAATAGGGTCATTAGTGCTGAGCACAACTCTGTGACTTCTCTTCCCTAACAGCTAATCCCACTAACAGAGTGTTTTTGGAGCAAACCAAGGGCAGAGGTAAAGAGGTACACCTTGTGTGTCAGTCCATTGGGTTCTACCCAGAAGTGATTAACATAACATGGGAGAAGCAGACCCAGAAGTTTCCGCTGTACCAGAGAATTTCCACAGATGTCTATACTGGTCCCATCATCAAGAACGAAAAGGGTATATTTAACATTACCAGCTACTTGAAACTCAATGCCTCCCTGGAAGACAATGGAACCACCTACTCTTGTGTGGTGTGGCACAAATCCTTGTACACATACGAGAGGTTGAACTACACATGGCAGGTTGAACTACCTGTGAGAGGTAAGTGTCTTGTTACACATTTCCTCTTCACCTTAGGTGCTGGGAAGTCGCAGGTCTTTGCAGATGTTTAATGGGAAGAAAGAGCAAGCTGGGGCTAAGGGAACAAGCTGGGGACTGGCCCAGCTCAAGCCCAGAAGCAGTACTCTGAATTGAGTCCCTGGGCTAGCCAGAGGGTATCGCAGGTAGAAAAGGGAGAAAATAGTCATCAGGTGGAAACAGGGCTGCTTGCCAGCTCAGGGCAACTTCAGGGTGCCTGATGGTCCTTGTGGGTTGAGGTGGGAGTCCTGTGAGGTGCTAGGGAAATGCCCATGTCCCCTGACGATAAGGGGCTGTGGGGTTGAGAACTGACATCTTCCTAGTCAGGTTCCACTATAAACTGTTGTCTGGTGGAAGCTAAATCAGAAGTCATTTGTAGTTTCTGTCCCAAGAGAAGAAGGCTCTACTATTGTGATCCTAAAGCTGCCCACCACTCTCCACAGACAGCAGATCCTGAGGATAACACAATTTCCTGCTGCTGGGGTGTTTTTGGCCCCAGAACAGGTTGCCTTGTTCATAGCTGTGGTCTTGTGCAGGGAGTGAGCCTGTTGGCCAAACGTGTGGTCCTGAATTGAGAGAAGCAAAGGAGGCAGTGGCCAACTAGGCACTCTGAGGGATGTGATCAAGTAAGCCAGAGGGGCTGTGGGAGTGATCCTAGAAGGAAAAAGAAATTGTTCTTGAAACAAGGGCTGGGTGATGTGTAGGCGGTATGTACAGGGTAAGTGTGGAGCATGGAGAGTGAGGGTATCAGCAGTGTTTTACTAGAGAAACAAACACAAGATGTACTAGTGTATAAGAAATTATGAGACTGGCTTAGCAGGTCCCCCACATAGATGACGAAGACTGCAGAGGGTGTTTGCACACTGGACCCTGAAGGTTTCAATCCAAGGTCTGGAGTTTTGCAATGTCCCATGCGAGTTCCTTTCAGGAGGCTGCTGTGCCTGTGATGGAATCCAAAGAGTGTGGACTGGAAACCAAGAGATGAGATCCAAGCCAAAGGCGAAGATTGGAGCTCCTCTGAAAAACAGAAGCAAAAGTGTTCTTTCTTAATTCCCTTTTACCACCCCCCAGGCGAGGAACCACCCTAGGATGGGTCCTCTACACCCTAGGATATAGAATTACCTTAGAATGGATCTTCACATCCTAGGGTATAAAATTTGCTGAGCCTACTTAGCTGAGCTCCTCTTGACTTCACAAGTTGATACAATCATTACAGTGGGAAAGTGAAATATGCTTGGTGTCCATGGTTGGAGGGCTTTGAGAGGTATAAATATAGAGGCAAGAGGTGGTACAATCAAGAAGCTGGGAAGATGTGTATGGTGTGCACATGTGGTGTATGGTGTTTAATACTGCATTGTTTTTCAGAAAAAATACTCAATCTGCTGATGATGAGATGTGTGTGACAGGGATGGTGATGCTGACACCTGTGCATTGGGGTTGGTAGTTGGATCTCTTGACAGAAAAGTGACACAGAGCTCACAGGTGCTAGCAGAAGTTGCTTTTCATGGGGTCTCTTTAGCTCTTATCAGTAGTTTTTCCTTATTGTCTTTCTTTTCTCTGCAGAAGCTGAGAACGTGGGTCACTTCCGGAGTATTTTTCCTCCTATTCTACAGATTTTAATAGTGGTTTTTCTTTATTGTGTTTTGATAAGGTATGGATCTCTGTCTTACTTTTCTTGTTGCTGAGACAAAAAAACTTGACACACCAAGTTAAAAGGGGAAAGGCTTATTTAGCTCACAGTTTGTCGAAGTTTCAGTCCAACATTGGCTGACTCAAAGCAAGGTGGTTTGGAAGAACAGAAAAGTTCATGGCAGGTAGAATGTAGCAAAAACAACAGGGGACTTTAACAGGTTTTTTTTCTGCCCCTTTTATACTCTGTCTAGGCCATTGAGTTAGTGGACTGATTTAGTAATCAAACATCCTTAATCCCAGCATTGTATCATGAATGAGTCGCACACTCTATATCCAGTCACCTCTGAAAAAGCTCCACCTTTGTCCTCATGAAGTTTTGGGGGGACATCTAAACACAAGCGCCCTTGACCCTCCCAAAAACTGATACACATCCCTTTATGCAAAAAGCATTTAGTGCTCCAAGAGTTGCTGACAATTCTTTAGCATTGCTGAAAAGTCCAAGTCCAAACTCTCTGAGATTTAAGGCAAACTCTTAGCTGTGAGCCCTGTGCAAATGAAAAGAAAGTTAAACATGTCCAACATTCAGTGATACAAAATAGATATTTCTCTTCCAAAAGGTACAAATAGGGGGATTGAAAGGACTGTTGCCAAAGCAAGTCCAAAATGCAGAAGAGTAAACATTAAGGCCTGCATTTTTTCCCGTGTGCAGCATCCAAAGTAATTTATGGCAAGATGTGAACTGAAAGGGTTTGGGTAGCTTTGCCCCTACAGTATTTTCCATGGTTGCAGCTCCCATGGCTTTTCTCCATGGCCAATTCTGCTCCTTCCTTGCACTTCTCCTCAGATGATCCATGTTTCTGGCTTTTCCAAACTTCTAGGGTCTGCAGTGTACATTCAGCTTCAGGCTCACAGATTCCCAACTTGCCCTCTCAGGGTCACACTACCTGGCCTCCCAGGCCTTCTTCTAAAATCTGAGTGGAAACTTTCCTCATCCCACAATGCTTGCATTCTGCATGCATCTAAAACCAGCACCATGTGGATGATGCCAAGGTCTGCTGCTAGCTAGAGCAGTAACCAGGCTTCCTTCTCCTTTGGCTGTAGGCGTCAAGTACCTATGGACCAAACTATGGGGAACAACTTCTCTAGGCCACTGGCATTCTGGAACTTAGTGCTCTGGGGCTCTCTTCAAAGCAAAGTTTTTCATTTTTGCAATTTGAGGTTGCAAAAGTTGGAGTCCTGTTGCTTCTTGTAATGTCCTTAGACTTCTTTTCTATTCTCCTGTTTCTTCTTAGCAATCAAAATCTCCTCTGCTCTATCTTTATAGTCTGCAAGTTTACTGGAGCTTCCCTTCTGTCAAACTCAAAACATTTTTCTGGGCTCTTTGCTCTTGATTCAGTATAAATATGGGTAAAAGCTCCCAACAGAAGCCATGTAATGGCCTCAATATTAGGCTGCCTTGAAACTTTTTCTGCCAGATTAATTATTCTAATAATTAGTCTCTTAATCTCAGTATAAGTCTCAGGCAAAGTATCTGGGCAAGAACAAAATGCAGACAAATGTTCTGCCAAGCCATAACGGACATTGACTGGAGTCCAACATCTAATAGAGTCATTTCCAGAAAAAAATCTTCTGAGCCTGGACTCTACTATTTCTATCTGCCTTCTGGTCTTCTGAGCTCTGACCAGAATATCCCATCAAGCACAGCCTAAGGCATTCCAGCTCTACTTTCTCTGTCAGCAGCTCCAAACTTTTCCAAACTCTTCCCATAAACCATTCCCCAAAAGTCCTGAACCACACAGTCTGGTACAGTCACAGCAGTGACCTCACTTCTGTTACCAGTTCTTTCATAGGTACTTTTCTTATTGCTGAGAAAATACCTGACATCCAAAACTAAAGGAGAAAAGGTTTATTTAGCTCACAGTCTGTCAAGGTTTCAGTACATAATCAGCTGGCTCCAAGGCAATGTGGCTTGGAAGAATAGAGCAGCTCATGATGGACAGAATGTAGCAAAACCAGCAAGAGACCTTAGCAGCATTTTTTTTCTTGCCTCTTATATACTCTATAAAGGTTACTGTAATTGGGTTGGTGCCAAACCAATCGGGACTCATTTAATAACCACATACCCTTAATCCTAGCATTGTACCATGAATTAATCACACACTCTAGATCCAGCCACCTGTAGACAAGCCCCACCCAATAACTGCATGGGGCTTCATGGGGACATCTAGACATAAGCCATAAAAAGCTCTAAAAAAAGTGTAGTCCTTTGGATGGGACTTGGTTCCAAGATCTCAGGATCATGGTCAGTGGGCAGGGTCAGGCAGTTCTGAGGGTTCTGAGGGTTGGTGCTGGTGTGTTTTAAGTGCTGAGTGTCGTTCTTTTCAAAGTTGTGTTGGGGAAGAACTTTGTCATGGGATCACTCACCATGTGTTGGTTTATGACTCTGGAGAGAGGCACTGTGCAGACTCCTGTACAACTGATGCTTTGTATTGAACCCGGCCATGTGGGCTCAGACCATTGCTTTGAACTACATGTGAGCTGCGTTGTCCTCAGGCACACTGACAGTGCAGCTGAAAGATGGGAATTCCCTCCCATCATTGCTCATGTTTCCTGGAAACTTCAGTGGGATAACTCACACCAGCTTTTGCTATTTGGCTAAGGCTTTCTAATCCCCCTTAGGAGTTTGCACATTAGGTCCTTCATTGTGGCCCAAATATTAAGGGTCACAGCATCAGCTTTACAGACCAAAAAGAGTGGGGTGAATGTGTGAGTTAAAATGGTTCTAGGTGATACAGTTTTCCTTGGTTATTTATAGGTCTGCCAAGGTGAAATTTGTGCAAGAGCTAATACTTCTCAGTATAAATAGAAGTGGAAAAATGTGTTAGTGAAGAAAAGAGCTTTTTATTTCACATTAGTTAACTGGCTCACAGAGCTTAGTCTGTTGTTTGGAGGTAGGCCAATGGGGAACCTGGACATACAGTGGTACTTCATATGTTTCTTGTGATATTTGTGACTTGTCTTACTCTTATGCTTTCTCTGGTTCTCATATCCAGGTGCCATTTATGTAAACCACCACTGAACAATGACTTTGAAGAAGGGTCAGAAATGGACACGGGCTCTTCCGGTGTTATGGTGTCAATTGCAGATGAGTTAGTTAGAAATACAGGCAACTGACTTCTGGGAGAACATGGTGGACAGAGAGCAGCCTACCGAGGCTCTCTGAGAGACCCAGCTTAGAATCCAGGAATGGTTGCAGAGTGAGGAATCCTAAGCAAGAGGAGATGTACCCTGCTGACCCAAGAACGAACTGGGCTGAGAGAAACCAACTGGGAATGCAATCCTGGTGCTATAACAGGAACAGATAAAGCCTCAGTGTGGAAGCTGGAGCCCGTGCCATTGGAAGATGTGATTTGGGTTTCCTGCCACCGCTGCTGCATCTGAATCGACTCGGCAGGGAGAGAGATGCACAAAAGCTCTGAGAATGGGAATCAGTGAATGGAGTTGAGAGTGGGACGGGCAGTGAGCTGTGCATCGACCTGCGGTGAGTGAGGGAAACTGGGACTCTTCCATGGTCTAGGAGGCTCCAACAGAGGACATTCTAGGACCAGGCAGACTTGCAGGAACAGGGCATTGTAGTGACCTCAGTCACATATCCCCCTCTCAAGCGGGATTGGTGAGCAGTGCCTAGCCTACATGACGCTGCTGGCTGAGACCCAGTAGGCTAGCACAACCCAGGTTTCAGTGCCTAGAGGTGCACTCTAGTGGTGAAGCCTTCAGTAGGGTGACCTGGAGGGGCAGGCCCCGCATAGGTTGCCTGGCCCATAACTCCCTGGTGCACTGCTGTGGGCGGGAACACCTAGCCGGCACAATTCAAACAGACTGGGAAGGAAGCTGGGCCTCCTATATACGCTTGTATTTAAGGAACAAAGAATATGGGAAGAGGGAGCAACAAGAAAGGCTCCTTGGCCCCTAATCCTGAGAAACAGGCAATAGCAGACACCGCACCAATAGACATAAAGCGCTATCTCCAGAGCCTCATAGATGAGTTCAGGAATGAAGTTATTAATGACCTGAAGCAAGACATCAGCAGAATAGTTAGAGAAATGCTAAGCATCACCCAAGAAAAAACAGATGGTGGAATGGAGCAACAGAAAAAAAGGGGAGAATTGTTTGATGGAGAAAATAGAGAAAACATAGAATATGTGAAGCAGGTTCAAAGAGATTACCAAGAAACTAAAAACTCTATTGAAAACTGGCATAACAGCTTGAAAGAAACTAAGGATAGATTATCTGAACTGGAGGGCAAATTTGTAATATGGGAGCATGAAATGAAAAACTTCTTAAAAATAACAAAGAAACAGCAATAATACAAAGACTAGAAGATGATAAGAGGATCTATAACTTAAGAATTAAGAACATAAAAGAAGAGGTAGGGACACAAACAAATGAACTACAAAAGCTACTTACAGAAATAATCCAAGAGAATTTTCCTAATTTAGCAAAAGGTAAAGGTACTCAGATGTATGAAGCATACAAGACCCCAGCCACCTACAACCCAAACAGAGCTACACCCAGGCATATAATAATCAAAATTCCAGAAATCCAATATAAGAACAGAATATTAAAAGCCGTCAGAGACAAGAAACAGATCACTTACAAGGGAACACCCATCAGAATTACAGCAGACTTCTCGGCACAAACCATCAAATCACGAAGAGCGTGGGGGGAAATAATTCAAGCTTTGAAAGATAATAACCTCCATCCAAGATTGATATATCCTGCACAAGTATCCCTGGAAATTGATGGAAAAACAAGGTGCTTCCAGGATAAAGAGAAACTAGGCGAATATGCAACCACCAATTCAACCCTACAGAGAATACTGCAGGATATTCTAAAAAAGAAAAATACAAAGATTCCAGAAATAGTGGCAGAGAGGCCACAATGAATGGAGCAGAAAACAAAATGAAGAAGACAAACTGACAACTAATGACAGAAAAAGAGCTCAACAGAAATGAGGCAGAGAAGATTGGATGATAGGAATAGCTATTTTGGAGAAAACGACGTCATAATAGGTAATGCTGATTTAATATCATCTTGTTTTGAGGTCCCATCAAGCTTTTGTTCTTTTGTCTCTATAGGTCTTAACATGTTGTATCTTATTGGATTTTATTATATGTGATAGTATAAACAAAAACTTTTATAGACAAGTAGATTATACAGAAACCATTGTTCATTTTCTGTTAGTTGATTCTAAATACCCTGTAATGATGTCATTCTCTTGAATGGTTTTACATTGTTTTGATATATTTGATGCTACAGTATATGAAGTTATACTCAAAGATTTCAAGAAAAGAGACAATATGGTAACTACTTTTATGTCAGGATTATCTTGTGGTGAAACACTATTTTGCTTAAATGGTTATGCTTTGACCTGCACTGTTTTGTTGTTATGCCCTCTTTTATATCAATCTCCATTTTATTATTTACTTCTTTATTTTTATCCTTTTAATTAAGGGAAAAATAAATTTAAAAATAGCAGGATATATTATAGTAACCCACTTTGATTTTCTATTAACTTGATTTGAAGCCCTGTATTGCTCTCACCATCTTGTTTTGACTGATGTTCCTCTATTCTGTTTTGCTTGATAGTACCAGGTTTGAAAGTTTAGGCAACAGCTGTGAAGATAGTGGGATTCATTATGACGCCCATTCTGGTTGACTATTATCTACTTTTGAAGACCTGTAATGTCTCCAATGTTTTGGTTCTGTTGGTTTCGTTCTTTACTGTTTTGTTCAATTTTATTATAACTGATGATATAGGCAATTCTATTGGAGATAGCGAAAGGCATTATGGTAACCATTGTTGATCACCTTGTATTATGTTTTTACATTATCCTGTCCACCCTTTTGATTTGACCGACTCTGTTCTGTTATGTCACATTTGGTTTTACTTTCTTCCAAAAAAGTAGTAAGAACTGTGGGAGTAATAAAACCCAAAAAGTGTAATAGTCGTTGCACAAAAGAGAGGAAAAGAAAGTGTTCTACATGATATAACTGCATGTATATTTAAGTGTATAAGATAGACAATGATATTACTGAGTTTTGTTGGATCATTGAATAGAACTGTTTGCAGTCTCATAGTTTGAATGTCCACTTTATATGCTTTAATTTTGTAACTTGAACAAATTTCTAAGATGACAATATGTAATCCATTAACTATTGATTTCCTACTGTTTATATTTTTCTGAAATTCTGTATAACTTGTACCCTTTTTCTGCTTTTTTTTCTTTTTCTCCTTAAATAAAATTAAAAAGAAAAAGAAATGGACACGGACATCACTCTCAAGGCCTAAGGAGCCTCTGAGTGAGGCCACCTGGGGGCTTGGAGGAGCCAAAGGCAGTCAGTGCTTCTAGCAAACTAAGGTCCCAAGCATCGCGCAATCTCCCAAATCTAATGGTTTATTGAACATTTATCACATTCACAGCAAGACAGAGGGGCACTGATCCATGGTGTAAGCTGGAAGCCAGATGTGGCACTGGTGGTTCAGGATCTTTCTTTTACCCAGCCAGTATGCCAGGAGGACACAGGCATCCCAGTGGGCATCACTGGAACTCTTGGCGATCTGTAAACTGAGCACCGGAACCCTCGGCAATCCAGAGACCAGTAGAGCTTGGAAGCCTACTGCGAGAGAAGCAAGAGAAGCCTTCTGGACAGGCGGAGCAACAGCCAGAGACATTTGCAGATCCTAAGCAGGTGCTCTGCCAACAGCAGCCCACAACACTGTGCCTGAAGACTGAGCCGAAGAGCAGCTGGAGGCTTTGTCTTTCGTGCTGTGGGGACTTTGAAACAAGTAACAGGCTAATCTCTCAGTGCTACTGTAAGTTGGTAAGAACACATTTATATGATAAAAATACATTCTTGAAAAGGTTCATAAGGTAAGATTTTTGGCCAGTCATACGGTTATCACTCTACATGGTTACCATCAAGTTATCACATTAGGCACACTGCTTATATGGTTATCATAAGCTAGTTCTGACTCAGAAAATAAATTCAGAACTAGACAGAAGCATAAGATGTCTTCTGTCCTGCTCACACCCACAAGGGGCCAAAGTCCTGAACCCCTGGGTAATTTGCACAGATGACTCCACTCCTTCAGGCATATCCATGTCCAACAATGTTACATAGCTGTCCAGTGCCCTCCAGCCCACTCCCTGGACATTGGGCTCAAACATGTGCCTTGCTTTAGTTGACACAAGAAAGTGGGGCTGGGGATTTAGCTCAGCAGCATAAGCGCCTGCCTTGCAAGCAGGCAGTCATGAGTTCGATCCCCGGTACCGATAAAAATGAAAAAGAAAAAAAAAAAAAAGTGAATACAAGCCAGTTCCCAGTGTGGCCCTTCAGAGGCCTTTTGTGTCTTCCTTTGCTGCCTCTGACACAAGAAGAACAAATCCAGCCTGGCCGGCTGGAGGATGAGCAATAGAGGAAGCCCACGTCATCTGAGGTGAAGTGACAGCTGCTTTTCCACACTTGACTCTGGGTGGCCATTGTAAGTCAATCTTGTAAATTCTTATATTTGTTATATGTTTCATTAAATCTGTTTCTGTAGTGAGCACTGACTGATACACTCCATGTTGTCCTGGATGATGATGTTTTTCTCCTCCTCCTCCTCCTTCTCCTTCTCCTCCACCTGTCTTCCTCTCTCTCCTCAAATGGCCTGCATTATGGCCTGAGGCTTTTCCCTCCTCTCCTGTCCCCATTGTCTTTCAGAGGAATTACCCCAAATAATTCTTGTGGACTTCTGACTCCCTTTGGAACCTGCTTCCCAGAACACCCAAAAGGACTGAGCACTATATGGAGGGACATGGTGCTTTCGTGGCTTCATCCAGGGCTACAGGGGCCGTTCTCACGAAGAGACAGACAACAAAGAATGAGGGTGCAACCAGATGTCCTTTCCTGATGACCGAGACCACTGCTCAAGCAGACTGTTGAGACCACCCTCCAAGGAGATGGGACTATGTGATGATTTTCATTCCCCTTCCAAGATGGATTGGAAAAAGAGGACGCAGTTGGAATTGAACCAAAGAAAGTTTCAGTTGTGTCAATTTCCCTCTGGTTTATAGCTTCCCCAGTAACAATGGAATTATTTCAAACATAATAGAGAATAAAGTGACACAGAGCTACACAAGTCTGCTTCGCTTCAGCTGGGGTTGGTGGTCTGTGCAGGAGCTGCATAGGAGATCACTTGCCGAGCAGGAGATTTAGGATCAGCACAGGACAGCTTCCCAGGGCCGTGGGAAAGCTGCTGGGTGGCGCTGAGGGTACTGTTCACCTGTACGCCACTGCTTCCCAGTGAAAGTTGTGTGTTGGGCAGTCCTTTCAAGGTTGGCCTGCATCCTGGTCGTGATTTTTTCATCCCTGAGCCTTCCCCTTTATGTTTCACCTAAAAGCACTCTTTAACTTCTGATTCCATTTTGAAAACTGCTTCCCAGAAGCCCCAAACAGACCTAAGGGGAGGCAGTGGTGTATACTGAAGAACATGGTGCTTTTGTGGCTTCGTTCCAGTGGACAGTGGCTTTCTCAGGGACAGCAGAGACCCTTCCAGACAAAGAGCATCCAACTGGATGGCTTTTCCTGAGAACTATGACTACCACTCAGCACAGACCATTTGTGCTGCTTTCCTGAGGGGTGGAACTATGCAGTGATTTTCATTCCGCTTCCAAGAGAGAGGGGGCACAGCCAGAATCGATGGAGTGCTGGGTTGTGTTTACTTCTCCCTCAGATGGAGTTATCCTTCTTCCTTCCCCAGTAATACCGACATTTTTCAAATGAAATAGAGAATAAAGAGAGGCAGGTCTACCCTAAGTGCTTCCCCTCACCTGGGCTGTTGATGGCTTGCTGAGGAGGAGTTCGAGACATACTCAGGCTGGTAAGACTGAGCTTTCCTGATACTGAGGTGCAGCACTAGTGGAGAGGGGTTAAATTGAGCTGTGGGCAGAGGAAGCTTTTGGTTGGTGCCGACCAGTGCTGCTGGCCTCTACCCTGCTGTGTCTCCCAGGGAAGGGTAGAAATCATGCAGTCAGATGTGTTCTTTCTCTTGTGTGTTCCATGCATTGACATCAAGGCTTGGAAGACATGGGGATCTGGGAAAGGCAGGAGTTCATGCATGGGAACCCAGGTGGCTGGTCCGGGCAGCCCATTCTTCAGGCCATTCCATAGTTGGACCTGCCCTGAGCAGAATCAAATGAAGTGTAGGAAGTACCATCTTCGTTACTATGAGGCTCCTAAAATCCCCAGGATGCTGGGCCTGACACAGAAGCTGAAATAATCTCAACTCCGCTACAATAATACAGCAAGCCCCACCTCTGGTCCCAGCCGTCTTTAATCTCAGTGTTTTCCCTTTCCCCCACCTCCTTCCAGCCTGGAGTGGATATGTGGTTTACCAGACATGCCCCAGTCTGGGGACAGCAATGACTTTCATACAAAGAATTCCTGTCTTCTTTCTCGGAGTCATCTGTATGTCTGGGTCTAGCCTAAAATGTCTGATCCCTGGAGCTGGGGAAAACTCAGAGGCCTTGGGCATTCGATAGCTGTGAGGAGCCACGACCCTCTTCTCCTGGACAGCAGGCTCTCAGGAAAATTGTCTCCAGGAAATGATTTTGGGGAGAAGCTCAGGTGAAGGGCAGAGCTGGAAGGAGGTCAGCTGCAGGGAGATCTGGGTGAGCAGCAGAAAGGCCTGAGGTGAGTATGAGAGCCTGAGGGGGCTAAAGATGCCAGTGCAGGTTTCCAGTATGGCAAAGGGGGTGAATTTTCCTAAACTAGCAAGCAGCTTCCCAGCAGGAAGAGGCAGCCTGACTTCCTCCCAGGACATTGCACACCATTCAGTGTGAGGTAGTGACTGAGATGTGGTAGATGTGTGCCCCCAGACTGCTCTGTCAGTCTCTGAAAAGCAAAGACCCTGGTCCTTGTGAAAATGGGGAAGACGGAGGGTCCATCATGCACCGGGGCCAGAGAAAGTGCCAGTGAGGTCTCTCTTACTCCGGGGTATATTGGACATCATCTTTGTAGACGTTTAACACAGCCTGATGTCAGTCCACAGTCTGGAAGCTCAAGGGGCCCCTGGAGATTCCTGGGTTACACTATTGCTCTTGATCTTTGGAAACGCGCAGCCTTCAAACATGGCATTTTTCAGCCCTTTCGTGTGCTGGGCCTTAGAACCAGTGGAAATTCCAGGTCTGCTGCCCTCATTTTCTGGGATTATGTAGTTCTTCACTATGACCAGCAGGTGGCGCAAAAACCCACAGCTGCACAGCCTTCAGACTGTCATAGGGTACAGAAAGTCCTTAAGGTTGAAGTTTATTCTGGATGAGACTCCAAAGATGCTGATGCTTATAAGGGCCCCTTACAAGCAATACTGGCTCTCTGTGTGCCTTTAGGGAGCATAGCTCCACAAGTCAGGACCCAGAACCCTGGACAGAGTTTAAATAACTCTTCAACTTTTCCCCCTCTACACCAGAAATGAGTCAGCTGTAGGAGGAGAACAAGGCTGGAGATGGGAGGCAGGGAGGGCACCACTTGGAGCTCAGACCAGAACCACCAACTTCTTCTCCCTTTGCCTTTTTCTCCAGAGCAGCCTGCAACAGACTCACGGATTGGGCAAAGCACAGGGCAGGCTTCGCTGCCACAGACAACCTGGCTGGGGCTTTCCCACTTTATCCATCCATCCCCCCATCTCTCTACTGCTCATTCACTCTGCACCTACTGTCCCAGGTTCGGGCCTTGGTCAGACACAGTCCTAAACCTCAAGGAGCCATGAGCTTGAGGGTACGAAAATGGACCCTTTAATGGACACAGGCAAAAGAGAAGCCAACAGCACCGAGGAGGGAAGGGGCCGTCTGTTCCCAGAGATGACAGCCAGGGCTTCCAGGAGGCATGATTTAGCCTAGGCTTTTACAGATGTCAACAGGTAGGGGGCCTGGACTGTCCAGGCAAAGGGAACAACAGCAAAGGCTCCAGGTGGGAGGCTCAAGATTGTGTGAAGAGAGGGCGGTGAGGCCATCAGGAGGTGGGCAGTGGGAGGGCACAGTGCTGGGAGAGCACACGGGAGCTCCAGGCTAGGAAGACATCAGGGCCCCAAGTGGCTGCCTTTGGACCCAGCAGGAGTGGAGAGACTGAGGGACACACATGGGGAAAGGATCACGGCCCTTCTAAGGCCACTCTGCTGTCAGTGTGGCAGGTGGGCTGCAGGGTTTGGGAGAGCCAAGCTCCCAGGTGACAGGCACTGCCACAGCCTCTGTGATCATGGTCTCAGCCAAGAGGGGCCCAGTGCCAAAGTCAGGCCAGGCAGAGAGGAGAACTGAAAAGGGGAAGGACAGCACCTTCCCTCCTCATGTTTGCTTGGTCCACTTCCTGCCCGCGTGGCTGATTCCACAGCAGTCAGGATCGCTCAGGGTTATGCAGCGCTTTTAGACCCGGCCCTGCAGCATTCCACATGTGCTTCTCCCTCCTGCATCTGTCCTCTGAGGTAGACACTGTTAGCACAGCTGAGGCAACTGAGGCTCACAGAGGGTCTTTGACCAAAGTCCTACAGCTAGAGGAGGGACTGGAGCCCAGGCAGGTGGCTGGAGAGCTCATCCTCCACTCATGACCCTGAGGTCTGTGGTGTCCACACCTCTCTCTCTCTCTCTCCACGGGCCCTTCCCTTCCAGCAAGGCCCCAGGTAACAGGCAGGGCCCAGGCTGCTGAGCCTTGTGGATGTTCGAGGGCAGAGATGATGGGACAGTGTGGCAGGCACCAAGCAGGCTTATTCTGAGGGGAAAGGCCCCTCTAGCTGGGGACAGATGTCACTATATTTGGCTCCCAGCTAGGGCCCTGGCTGGTCCTGAACACGGAGTGGCAGCTGCGAGCCTCTGCCCTCCCTGTCCACCCACACTGCAGGCCTCCCCTCAAGAACAGCCCACTGCTGAAGTTATGGAGGTGCAGACTTTATTGGCAATGGGGAAGGCAGAATTGTGGGCAAGGACACAGCACTGCTCTGAGAGTCCAGGCTCAGGTCAAGCCAAAAGATTTCTTTTCCGTGGGGGATCCATCCATCCCAACATCCTCAACTTTCCAACACCCACTTTTCAGCAACCAGAAAGCAGCTCCATACCGCTACCACAGGCTCCTTCTGGACAGACGACACAAATTACAGCTGTCACTGGTGAGCCAGGAGTGAAGTTCAGTGCGAGGCCCATTATATGTGGTTCACATCACCTCAGTCTCTCTACTCAGCTTGTCGGGGTCTGCCCAGCACACTCCAGCCTCTCAAGGTGGGAACAGAATGGGCCCAGTACCCCTAGCCCACGGAGCCCTCTCTGCAGAAGCCTGGTGTTAGGGGTGAAGAGTTGGGAGCCAGGTCCATCTTTTCCTCTCAGAGCCTCCGCAGAACCTCCTCATGTCCTGCAGCCCCACCTACACCGCCCCACTATATCCCCTTTTCTGGCCTGTGCCTGCCCACAGATGGGAGCCCTGTCAGCCCCAGCCTGGCTCTGTTTGCACAGCAGCTGGCGGTCTCTGTCTCCCCCTCCCTGACTGGTCAGGTCCACCCCTTAGCTCATCACTTCAGAGACCAAGGAGGCCGGGAGCTGGTCTCAGCTCTTTCTCAAGAGCACAGAAACAAAGCAGCAGTTCCACAACTCAGGGGCCGTCTTCCCCAGCCACTTTCTGCTTGTGGCAGGCCAATCACGGGGTTGGGGACCCGGCTTTAGGGTCTAGCAATTCCCACAGCCTCCCCAGCTTTGGGCAGGGAAAGAGGGGTAAGCCACTCCTGAGCTGGGGCTAGGAGGAGCAGGGACAAAAATAACCTGGTATAGACTCTTGCTGAGGCCAGAAATAGCGTAGTGACAAGTGCCTTGTAACATCCTGGTCACGCAGCAGGGGGAGGCTGAGCCAAGGAGGGTCCATCCTCACTCCAGGCTCCTGCATGGCCAGGTGCCCCACATCTCACCCACTCTACATACCACAACACACTGCCCGAGCACACACATTTGCGGCAGAGCCCCAGGGACCGTGACTCAGGACAGGGAATCCGGAGAGATGCTGAACCTGGGTTTGGCCTTGGCCACAGGCACACTGCGCTTGCGCAGGGGCCCACGGGTCGAGGCAAGAGTCAGGGCATCGAGCAGGCTGTGGTCCTCGTCAAGCTGGTGAGCTGTGCAGAGTGGTGTGGGCACTTTAATGGTGTTGCCAAACTTGGAATAGTCCACCGAATAGCGGCCATCCTCCTCTGCCACGATGGGGACAAAGCGATGGCCCCACAGAATTTCGTCAGCCAGGTAGGAGGTGCGGGCCTGGGTGGTAATGCCCGTGGTTTCCACCACACCTTCCAGGATGACGATGATCTCGAGGTCCTGGTGGTGGTGCAGGTCACTGGGTCCCAGGTCGTAGAGTGGACTGTTGGCATCGATGACATGGTAGATGATGAGCGGGGCCACCAGGAAGATACTGTTACCCCCCACACCGTTCTCCATGGGGATGTCCACCTGGTGGAGGGGGACCACCTCGCCCTCGGGACTCGTGGTCTTTCGGACCACCTGCATGTGGATGGTGGCACTGATGATCATGCTTTTCCGGAGGTCACCCACGCGCAGCATGAAGCAGAGGCGGCCGTGGCGCAGAGCAATGACCGCATGCTTGCTGAAGATGAGGGTCTCTGCCCGCCGATGCGCCTGGGAGGTCTTCATGAAGATGCAGCCCAGCATGATGGCGTTGATCATGAGCCCCACAATGTTCTGCACAATGAGGATCAAGATGGCCAGCGGGCACTCCTCGGTCACCATGCGCCCACCAAAACCGATGGTCACCTGGACCTCGATGGAGAAAAGGAACGCGGATGAAAAGGAGTGGATGCTGGTAACACAGGGCACCGTGGTGCCCTCGCCAGGGGCCAGGTCACCGTGGGCAAAGGCAATGAGCCACCAGACCATGGCAAAGAGCAGCCAGCTGCACAGGAAAGACATGGTGAAGATGAGCAGCGTGTGCGGCCACTTGAGGTCCACCAGCGTGGTGAACACGTCCTGCAGGAAGCGGCCCTGCTCCCGGATGTTCTTGTGGGCCACGTTGCAGTTGCCTTTCTTGGACACAAAGCGGGCCCTCCGCTCTCGGGCGCGGTATCGGGGCTCTGTGGGGTCCTCTGCCAGACGAGTCAGCACATACTCCTCGGGGATGATGCCCTTGCGGGACAGCATGGCTTCAGGGACCCCAAGGAAGGGTTTCCCTCATGGGGCCACTGCCTTGACCTGGCCTAGGGTCTCGCTGTGGGGTCCGGCTCTCCACACACTCACCCTGGGCCACCCTCAGCCTGTGCCGGCCTTGCACCTGAGATGCTGCCACCAATAGACTTTCCCCACCTCCACCTGGACCCTGCTTTACTTCTTCACACCAGCCTCACACTTCAGCCCGCCTGCCTGCCCATCTTCGCCTCACGCGCCCGGCTACTGCTCACTCTCCTCCTGGCCCTGGGTCGCAGTCCAGCTCTCCTCCACCAGCTACGCACCCCTAGGCCTCCTCGAGACCCTTCCTCCCCGCCCAGCCCTTACTGGACTCAAACTTAACACCTCTGGATCCTACCAACTAACCAGACCGCAAACACCCGCCGCGGTTCTCTGGCTCACCCATTTCTGTCCCCAGACCTCCTCCAAGCCCCAGCCTCCTGTCCTGGCCCCTCTCCAGGCTCCCCTCCAGGTTTCCCCCTATTTTCCTCCCCTGGCTCCTCCCGCCGCTCTCCGGGTGCCTTTCCAGCTCTTGTCCTCTCTGTCTCCTTGGGATCCTGCGCTCTCCGAGTCACCACCCCACCTGGCTCAACTCCCGATCCCCTCGCCCCCCGCCGGATCTGGCCGAGCTGGCTCCACGCCGCGGCCTCCCCGTGCCCGCTCGCCGCCTGCGCCCCCGCCCGCCGCCACCCCGTCCTCGCCCCGCCCGCTCGCCGCCGCGGCACCTGCTCCTGCTCCTCAAGCCGCAGCCGTCGCCTCCCCGCCCCCTCTCGCGGTCCCCAGCGCGCGGCCGGCGGATTTCCCCGGCGGTCAGTCAGTCAGTCGGCCGGCGGACGGAGACCTGTGCAAGGCGGGGGCAGAAGATCAAGGGTTGGGGGCGCCGGAGGATCCGAGTGGGGACTTGGCGCCGCCAGGGGGAGCCCGACCTGTTCGCCAGCGGCAGAAGGGCGGACACTGGCTCGGGACACGCCCACTTCCCACCCTCTTCCCGCCCACCTTCGCCACAGCCCCGCCCATTCCTCCATAGCCCCGCCCATTCCCCGGCTCAGTCCCGCCCCTTGGATTTGTGTCCTCCCGCCCAGCGCTGTGAAATTGGTGAGCTAGAACAGTCCCGCCCTCCCAGTCAGGGTCAGCAGCATCAGTCACCCTGTCTGCCCTTCCCTGCTGTTCCCATCCAAAGCTGGATTTCCAGGGACAGGAGACATGGAGACGTGGTACCACAATCCAGGTGGTCCCAGGACTTTTCAAAGGACCCTCTTTCCTTTGGGAGATATGTTTTGTTTTGAATCCTCTGAGAATTTGTGCGAGAAATCTCTCCCGAAGGAAACCGAAGAACTACCCTAGCAAGGGCAGGAGCACAGCGACACCTCCCACCAGGCTTGCCCGCAGCATGGCCCAAAAGCCCAGCGCTCCACCTTCTCAGTCCTAAAACAGTTGAACCTATGGCCAGCGCTTTACAAACCCCCATGACTGTGGCCTGAATTCCTCCAGCTTCGGCAGTGGAGGTGTTCAGCTTAATGGCTGTTTTAAACCCAGCTTGGACCCTGGGACACTCAGACTCTTGGTCAGGACAAGGGTGATGCTTCTATCACAGACATCAGCCTAGGTTTACCCTGCCTGTTGTTGGAGCAAACCGCCTGGTGACCTTCTGTAGGAGTCCGGTGTCAGGCAGGGTCTGGAAGGACAGAGGCCTTAGGGTTACAGGCTGCAGTGCGGTGTGCGTGACTTTTATACTGTTTTCCTCTTTCTCTCCCCTAACCATCTGTAGGCGGAATCAATCCTGCTGCAAAGGGGGTGATCCTGGGCTGTATTTCCAGAGGAGCAGTGCCTAGGGCAGGATTGGAGAACGAGATGAGCAGAAAAGGAAGCTCAAGGAAACGGCATTCCTCTGAGGCAACTGTCATATAGTTTTTTAGCCATCAGAAAGGGAAACTTGTGTGTGTGTGTAGGGGGTGGATCTGGCACCTTCAAAGAAACCTGAGAGTTACAGGAGGATGGGCCAGTAGTCTTGCCTGATGCAAAGAAAAGAACTGGATACTGAATGGAACAGAGACGGGCTTTCATTTTACATGTAAAGATTCAGTTCTAAACTGAAACCAGAGGTGACCCACTTCTGAGGGGAGTTCTAGGAACCTCGGTGGTCCATTGGGATATTATGGAGGGATCTGGCCAGGCGGCTTTGGGCATCCGTGTAAAACTTTCTTGTCTCGTGCAGTTTCTTTGCTTCTATGTTGGGGTGAGGTGGAATCCTCTTACCACTCGAGGTTCTGCTCGTGGGAGACCTCATTGTGAGGGAGCTGTGGGTCCTAGAGGTTCCCAGAGCTGAAAAGGCCAAGACTGCCTCACTGTATGGCCTCGAGGCTCAGCTCTTCCAGCTCCACCCTTCTACCCAAGGTGCTCACTTCCTACTCTGCTGCATCTGCCTGGCTCACATTTGCCCCAGACACTGCACTTGTCAGATGCCTTTCTTGCTTAAAACCCTTTATGCTCCCCTTTTGCCCACAAGCCTATCCCACGCCTCTTAGCCTGATATCCGAGGCGCTCTGATCTTTATATTTGCTGCTGCCCTCATCCCACCCCTTCCCTGCCCCCTGACCAGCCAGCACACCTAACCTGCTTCCATCCTCACTCCTTGGCTCCTGCTGCCTGTCCTCTGCCTTGTTCCCGAGCCCTCTGCCTCTCCAGTTTTTACTCCTCCCATGCGAAGCTCAAATCTGGCCTTTCCCAGGCAGCCTTCCAGGACTCATGGAGTTCTCCCTTCCCAAACACTCTGGCTTCTGGCACAGCCAGAAGGGTCTCCTCCATGACTGCTGGATATTCCTTATGTTGTGTGGCTTGAGGCCTCTTTCAGCCAAGAGGGATGTAGACTAAGACCCTGCGGTCTGTAGCCCAGGGCCTGGTAAGCCAGTACTGCAGGCTGAACCGAGAAAGGATAATGAGATGCAAATGAGCACCTGTCTTTACTGGCTGGGAACACGGGACACTCCTGTTTGCTGATTTGGATGGAGTCAGGAAAGCTATTGTTTTGATCTCCCCAAAGTCTGTGCCACCACCACCTGGCTGACTTGTATCTGAAGTGTTCTTCACTGAAAAGGAGCATCTTTCTCCTACTTCTGAATATCCCTGTTTGGGAACCAAGAGGGCGCACAGGGTCCAGGCCTAGTCAGTGTATTCCAGCCCTCTGGGCACTGTGATTGATGGTGGGGACAGGGATGTGATTGAATTGGTCCTTTAACATTCACTTCTCAAATTTTTGTGGGAACCACCGGGACACAGCACTTTTTCTCTTTGGTTGTCCTGGGGCAGGATGTAAGCTGTAGCTAAGTGGCTATCTGTCATCAATGAGGCAGAGACAAATGGAACCCAGAAATGGAAAGGCATCCCTGATTTCAAACATAGAAGTCACCAGTGTGATCTTTCCTATCCCACACCACCATAAATTCAGTTAATTGAATTGTACTCCTGTCACGTTCGATAGTAATAGTGCTGATCCAGGCCACCAGGCCTCACAGTGCAAAAAGGACAGAAGAGAAAGGGCTAAGTTGGGTGAACATTTGCTATCTTCACCACAGAAATGCTGTCGCCCTTGCTATGGCTGAGTTATAGCCTCCAAGTTCATAGGGTGAAGACCTAGACTTCAGTGTGATGCATTTAGAGCAGGGCATGGGAGGAGGTAATTAAAACTCAATGAAGTCACAGGGCGGGACCCTAATCCAATATGCCTGGTATCCATAATGAAGAGAAAGAAGGGAGAAGAGAGAGGGAAAAGCGAGGGCAGAAAGGAGGAGGGGACAGAGAAAGGGGATGGAGAGAGAATAGGAGTGAATATCAGGACACAGAGGAAAGGTCACAGAAGGACAACCGAGAAGGTGGCTCAGGAAAAACCAAATCAGCCAACACCTTGACCTCAGATTTCAGCCTCCAGAACTGCGTGCAGTAAGGTTCTGCTGTAAAAGCCACCCAGTCCGTGGCAGGCTGTGGTGACAGCCTGAGCTGCTAACAGTCCTCATCTCACAGATCAGGAAAAGTGCTTTTGCCTGCGCTCAGCAGCGCCTGCCCAGTGCCAGCTCCTCGAGTCCAAGGGGCACCGCAGCCCCAGTGACAAAGCCAGGCCCTCTTGTAGGAAATATCAATCTCTTTATTTATAGGTGATTTACAGTTAGAAAAACCAAGTGAGGCAGAGGCAGGGTGAGGGTTTGACGTGGCACTTGGGCGCTGGCAGGTCACTTGTCTGCTCTGACAAAGGAGGCAAAGACACTGTCCTTCCGGCTGAGCAGGTTCTCTGGTTTGTCGAACTCCAGGATGGCGCCCCGCTTCAGGACCATCACCAGGTCTGCGCTGAGAATGGTGTGCACTCGGTGCTGCGGGCAGGAGGGGGCAGGGCAGCTGATGGCTGACATCCTGCCTCGGTGGTGACTGTCCCTGCCTGGGGTGGCTGTGAGCCAAGGTCTCCATCTACTAAGACCCCCCTTTTGTCTTCACCAAGTCTCAGCTCTGCTTTCTGCCGGACTTCAAGACTCAAGAGACCACTGTCCCCAAGCCCCCATTCCCTACTTCCTGTGGCTCACAGGGCCTTGGGACAGGCTGACCTCAATACTGGAGGAAAAAAGGGGCAGAGTGATAGTCCTGCCCTGGGCCAGCCCTGCAGGCTCCTTCCTTCCCGATGTCCTTTCTTGCTGACAGCCCCAGGCCCCCAGGTCTGGGTAACCCCTGCACCCCGTCAGTGTGCCACTTACTGCAATGGTGACCACGGTGCGGTCTGCGAAGGCCGTCATCACCACCTTCTGGAGGATGTTTTCCTGTCAGGTGAAGGCAGCAGCTGTCAGCTCACTTGCCCTGTGGATGGGGTCTGGCCTGGCTCTGGGGTGGGGGTCCAGGATTGTGGCCCAGCTCCCATCTGACTCCAATCCCAGCTCCACCCTCCACTTCTCTCAGGCCCTGAGAATGGGTCTGCATGGTAGACAGGGTGAAGTCTGTGTGTGATTATTTCCTAAGACTGAATGGAGTCCTGGTCCCCCAGCTCAGCCCTGATGCTAAAGGCAACCTCAGGACTACCTTGTACAAACTGTTCCCTGACAACCCCACTAAAACTGCTCTGGGGAGACACCCAGGACGAACCGTGGCCATGTCGATGGAAGCCGTGGCCTCATCCATGATGAAGATGCTGGTCTTCCTCACAAAGGCCCGAGCCAGGCAGAACAGCTGCCTCTGGCCCTGGCTGAAGTTCTCCCCACCCTCTGTGATGATGGCATCTGAAAAGCGGGTACAGGGCTGAGTTAATCCTTTGAGAGGATTGGGGGGCTGTCGGGATGTGTGTGGAGGTTGGAGGTGTGTCAGGGAGTGCAAGCACACTCAGGGCTGACACACCTGATGCAATAATGCAATGCTGTCCTTGAAGACTGAAGGGAACCCCCGCCCCCGGGGCTGGGCATAGTTGGACCCTGGGCAGTCCTGTGAAAGGGCAATGCATGCATGTGTGTACAGAGTGTGTGTGCCACTCAAGTGGGGACTTGGGGAAGGTGACCCACAAAGCCTAAGTGTGGCCACCAGACACTGCTGTATGGGCTATGACACACACACACACACCAAGACTGTGCTGACTCCTGAGGGACCTGTGTCTAAGACACCCCTCTCCGTCCTGTCCTCTCCCAGGAGAGATGGGTGGGACAGGGAAGAGCTGAAGATACCAGTTGCAATCCTTGTCTCACAGTGGCCCCAAATGTGCCTGTGCCTTGCAGAAGGGCAGACCCTGAACTGACCTGTCATATGACCTGAGGCAAGATACTTCACCTCTCGGGGCCCCGGCATGGTGAAAGGTGGGCCTAACGGTAGCTCAGAGCACACCTGAGACCTAGCTGCGAGTGAGGTTTCCTCCTCAGCCCTTCCTGGATCCTGTAGGGCCCAGCCATGCCTGCTCAGCTGGCAGCAATTACCAAGGCCTCCGGGCAGTGCCTTCACCACCAGCTTCAGCTGGGCGATCTCCAGGGCCTCCCACAGTGTGCTATCCGAGCACTTCTTTTCTGGGTC